CCATTATAAGATATAATATCATAAGATACGGGAACTATTTCATCAATGGCTAGAGAAAAAAAATATGAAAGCTAGAAATAGCTAATAGACCAGTGAAATATAGAAAATAGGTTTATTATAGAAATAAACATGCTGAGGAGTGCTATAGTAATAGAGATATTGTGCATATTGATAAAATAAGAACAAACTAAAAATAGAGAATTAATACCAAAGTAATGAATGGGGATGTAAATTTTAATTGTTATTGCACAAGATATTTGTACCCAGACGAGACACCGTTAAATGGAAGATGAATTGTATGTACCTTCAATAAAAGTTTTAAAAATTTACAGAAAGAAAGAAAGAAAGAAAGAAAGAAAGAAAGAAAGAAAGAAAGAAAGAAAGAAAGAAAGAAAGAAAGAAAGAAAGAAAGAAAGAAAGAAAGAAAGAAAGAAAGGACAAAGGAAGTCCAGTTGCCTCTTGAAAAAAGCACCTTTGGTGCAGATTGGAGTACAGACACACATGGAACAATGAATGCAGCGTTAGCCGTGACATGACAGTTCAGTCTTAATCGGTTCCTAGGCGTCAACATACCCATTTGGGAAACCAGAGAGCGAGTTGAACACTATCTAGTGGAGGCCCCCATCAGAGTGCAGCATTCCGGAAAGCAGGCATATAAATAGCCCGCCTGTTCTTCCTTAGCCAGCTCTCCAACTTCTTCTCTCCTCCAACTGGCCTATTTGCAAGCCAGACTGTGACGCTTTCGTCGCGAGAAATGCCCTGCTTTCAATTTGTTTCTTTGAATGGATCCCAAAGTCCTTCTCCAAAACCCCAAAACTTTGACCGGATCTCAGGGCCATCGCTAGACAGCCATGGGGTCGGAAAATAGGATTGAGATTGGGTGGACACTCACACGCAACAGCAACAGCTCCAGCTTTGGGACGTGGGAGAAGATTGTCCCATATTTTACCAGGGGAATACAACCAATCTAGGTTCTACGTGACCTCTTTGGGCATTTCCTATCTTAGAACAAGGGCCTCCAACCTTGGCCACTTTAAGCCTGGTGGACTTCAACTCCCAGAATTCCCCAGCTAGCTTTGCTGGGAGTTGAAGTCCACCAGGCTTAAAGTGGCCAAGGTTGGAGGCCCCTGTCTTAGAAGGTAAGGTCTGGAAGAAGTGAAGGACATGCCCACTTGCCTGGAGAGAGGCAACTGTCATTGATCTGGCTTCAGTCTAGGGGAGGCAGAGGTGATGTGATCTTGTCACTCAACATTTTTAGAAATGTGAGGTTTGAGGATGGAGGCAGGAGGCCGGGGTAAAGAATGAAGAGACAGAAGGGTGTCACAGGGTGGATTGGAACTATAGGATTCTTAAAAGTATGAATGTTATCACAAAAGCCTGGGTCAGTCTCTATCTGGTTTGAAAGATATAACATCACAATAACAACCAGAAGGGTGAGGGGAAGGCAAGGAAGAGGAAGAAGAGCGAGAAGAGGGAGAAGAGAGAG